ACAAAGCAAGATTCCACCTCAAAAAAACTTAGCTTACTCTGTCCCCTTCCCTACCCAACCAATTAAATTGGGCTCTCTGTGATGTGGTCAAGGTAGTAATATTTGTGCAAAGTTCCCTTAGTAGCAATAATTTTTCAACAGACAGGACTGAGAAACATTGCAGTCTATTATTTTTTCTGGGGCATTATATGGCACACTTCTATAGAGTAAAACTGAAACAAAGAGATTTGAGTGCAAAGTATGAGTCACCCAACTTCTCTTAGCCTCAATTTCTCTAGCTATAAACAGAGAGACAATACCTACTCCACCAAATTGTTGAGAAAGTTAAACAAGGTATATTTCAAAGTATTTGATACACAATAGATGCTGAAAAGGCATTGATTGAATGTTGAATTTATAACTTTTGTTAGCTTAATTTTAGGTGGTGACATATGGTGATGATCTCAGTGTTAATACAGTGGCCAAATAAATAAGCTGCCTGTAAAATATATGTGAAGAAATGTGAACATTGATTTTTCTTCTTACACACATACAAACAGATAAGGAATATGGCATTTTATTAAGTTTTTAAATATGCTTTATTTAATAACTCATTATGTTTTTTAAATATGTCTATTTATATATATCTATTGATTGACCTACCTATATAGATAAGGAATATGGCATATTCATTTTAAAAATGTGTAAAATCATGAATTCAAATATTAATAGGAAATAAAACAACAGCATGGCATTAAAGGTGATCTCGCCAGCTAGATATGAGCCTTAAGAGGCAGAAGGCCAGTCTGCCCTCTGCTCAGCCTCAAGGCTGTCACTACCAAGCCGCACCTTGGAGCTCAGCCTAGAGGATCTCCATCACTCACTCGGAAGTTGAAGCTAAATCCCTTCTGTAACAAAACGCTAATTTGAGGAACTCTGAATTAGTTTGACTACAAGTTCACAGGTAGAGAGTGCTTAACTGGAAGAAAAATAAGGAGAAAAATCAATGTCTATATTCATTCCTCACATATTCCTCAACAGATCTATATATCTCTTGACTGATGGGTCATATTTCTACATCTTGTTTATTTCTAACTTGGATATTGTATAGTAAAATCTATTTGATTGCCATCCTTGCCATCTCTGGCAGGACATTTGTGTCTAACTTTGAAAATTGTATATTACTCTCTTTCCATTTTCTGTATACTGAGGCTACGAAGGAGAAGAAAGGAAATACTCAAATGAATCCACATACTTCCTTTCTGAAACACTGTTAAAGATACTGTGGCAGGCCCCCTGCATGCAGCCAGGGGTATATTCACTTCTTTATCATACAGGTAGGCTTCTGCTCTACCCACCTTGGTATGAAGCTCTGGAAATGAGCAAATTCTTATACAGTGGGATCATGCAGCAAGAGTCTATGCACTCAAACATGTTTACTAAATTTTTCTCTTGACCTTCCAAGGGTATCCCATCATTCCACTTCTCTCCCCATGGAAGATGCAAGTGAGAATGCCATGACTCTGTAACCTCACAATATGAACAGAATATTGCTTCTGCAGGATGTGACCACAGCTAGAACTCTATGCCACACCAGAATTTACTTCTTCAATACATATTTTTGAGTGTCAACTCTGTGCCAAGTATCATTTTAGTTTTATAGCAGAGAACAAAATACACAATGTGCCTTACCTATGACTATCCCTATTGTTGACATGACAATAATGAATGAATAACAAAACAGAATTATATAAGCCAAGTTGTATAAGTGTTATGACGAAAAATGAAATAAGTAAGTATAGCAGTCAGGCTTCTCTGGAGGGACAGAACTAACAGGATAGAAGTATATATGAAGGGGAGTTCATTAAAGAGTATTGACCCACACAATCACAAGGTCCCACAATAGGCTGTCTGCAAGCTGAGGCACAAGGAATCTAGTCTGGGACCCAAAACCTCAAAAGTAAGGAAGTAGGCAGTTCAGCCTTCAGTCTGTGGCTAAAGGCTCAAGAGCCCATGGAAAACCATTGGTGTAGGTTTAAAAGGCCAAAAGCTGAGGAACTTGGAGTCTGATGTTTGAGTACAGGAAGCATCCAGCACAGGAAAAGGATGAAGGTCAGAAAACTCAGCAAGTCTGCTCTTCCACGTTCTTCTGCCTGCTTTATTCTAAGCACTCTGGCAGCTGATTAGATGGTGTCCACCCAGACTGAAGGTGGGTCTGTCTCTCCCAATTCATGACTCAAGTGTTAATCTCTGTCAACACCCTCAAAGACACACCCAGGAACATACTTTGCTTCCTTCAATCCTATCAGGTTGACACTCAATATTAACCATCAGAGTAAGCATCACAGAGACTACTAGGGTCTGATGTTTGGGACAGGGTAATCTGAAAGGACTTCTGGTAAGGTGACTATTGAGCACATAAAGAAAATGAGGAATGAGCCCTGTACATTGTCAGGGAGGAACTGTTCAGGCAGAAGAAATACTGATGGAAAGGCCTGCAATGGAAAAGTGACTGGCATATTAGAGGCACAGCGAGGAGGTCAACACAACTGGTGAGGAGTGAATCAGGAGAATGATAGGGATGAAGTCACAGAGCTGGGAGCCAGGTCATAGAGAGCCCTGGCAGGCATTTTAAGGACTTGGACTTTGAGGAAAATGGGAAACCATTGACCAGTTTTGGGTACATGAGTGATATTTTACCAGAAGATTCTATTTCCTCCCTATCATCACTTTCCAAATTTTATGAAAAGAAGTTACATTGTTTCTTGTTAAGCTATTACTGAATTTTTGACTTTGGGGTTTTGTTTTGGTTAGTTATTGAGAGGAGAGGTTGCCAACCCATGACACTATGCTATCTCAAACTCTCCCATCCGGATCAAGTATTTTTTTTCCCCACTGTGATCTGCTGTCCATGGCTTGCAGGAAGGGATTCACTCACATTCAACTGTACAGAGCCCTGTCATGAGGGCTGTGCTCAGAAGCTCCCTGGGACCAGCATAGCAGGTGCATTCACCCAGCCCCAGCCTCAAATGAGCCTCATCTGCAATCCAGCAGTGTGTGCCTGGATGGTAGTGCTTTATAGTTCATTTTTAATAAATATATGACTCATAACAATATTGTTCTTTGTTTAGCTTTCATCTTTCTCACAGTTTGAAGTGTTTGTAATAGTTGTAGATTTATTTTTAAAGCCTTGCTACATTAAATCAAGAAAATTTAGAAGCATAATATGCCATTGTATTTCTTTTTCTTATGAAAAACAAATAATGCTAAATTTACAGGAATAATGTATTAGCATTAAAGAATGGCTATCAGTATATTAAAATAATCAATATGTTATTTCTGATGCTGAATGTATACACAAAAGTTTTAAACTATCTGAAAAAGAGGAGCTTCTGATAAATATTCATCATATCAGCTCGGGTGCGGTGACTCAAGCCTGTAATCCCAGCACTTTGGGAGGCTGAGGCAGGCGGATCACAAGGTCAAGAGATCGAGACCATCCTGGCCAACATGGTGAAACCCCGTCTCTACTAAAATACAAAAGTTAGCTGGGTGTGGTGGTGTGTGCCTGTAGTCTCAGCTACTTGTGAGGCTGAGGCAGAAGAATTGCTTGAACCCGGGAGGTGGAGGTTGCAGTGAGCCGAGATTGTGCCACTGCACTCCAGCCTGGCGTCTGGCGACAGAGTGAGACTCTGTCTCAAAAAAAAAAAAAAAAAAAAAAAAAAAAAAAAAAAAAAAAAAAAAAAAATTCATCATATCCTGATTTTTAAAATTGGAGTACTTCAAATTTAGAGGTTATGTTAAAAAAAAAAAAAACTCCAAATTCTCACATATGAAACCTGATCGTGGCTCTGATGTTTACTTTCTTTGAAGTAAATAGAAATAATTTTTTGAGTACAGAAGAAACAACTATACTAGATTTATTAAAATCTGATAAATATTGTTTTAATTATCACAGAAGATGTAAAGAATATGTAATTTTGTGGATTATTTATAGAATAATGGGCAAAACCAATGACATATTAAGTGAATAAGAAGTGAACATTGGGACGGAAGGCAGGAAACCACACTGCCATGTGTGTACCTATGCAACAATCTTGCATGTTCTTCACATGTACCCCAAAACCTAAAATGCAATAAAAAAAAAAGAAGTGAACATTGAATTTATGTATTTTTGTAATAGAATGTCTAGCTGCACTAAATACAAACTGAATAATTTTGGGATAAACTCTAAAAACACCTGTTTCATTACACTTACAATATATTATTTATCATATTAATAAGCTTCTCATGTCATTGTGCATTGTTACTGTGGCCATTTTTGTCAGCAAATTTTTATCAAATGAGTTCTATATTTTGGTGGAGAAATTTTGGCAACTACACAAAGAATTTACCAATGATCACTTCTACAAGTGAGTATGTATAGGAACTTTTCAAAACCCTTCTCAGAGCATAGTAATTTATAGGTTTTGAAATTAGTGGAGCATTGTTAAATAATATTTACTGAACACTTTTTTTTGTTTGTTTGTTTTTGTTTTTGAGACGGAGTTTCGCTCTTGTTACCCAGGCTGGAGTGCAATGGCATGATCTCGGCTCACCGCAACCTCCACCTCCTGGATTTAGGCAATTCTCCTGCCTCAGCCTCCTGAGTAGCCGGGATTACAGGCACGTGCCACCATGCCCAGCTAATTTTTGTATTTTTAGTAGAGACGGGGTTTCACCTTGTTGACCAGGATGGTCTCGATCTGTTGACCTCGTGATCCACCCGCCTCGGCCTCCCAAAGTGCTGGGATTACAGGCTTGAGCCACCGCACCCGGCCCCTGAACACTCTTTCTAAACAAAATTATTTGTGTTTTCATAATGTGTTTTGATTTAAAAGAAAGTTGTTATTATTATTGAAAACATGTTTTGTAATGAGCCAATAAAGTCCTCAAAAATAAATGAATCATACTATGGAAGACCTACATTTGATATACCTTTTTTTCTCTGAGCAAACAAACCCACTTAAGACCATTGTGTAAGATTAGAAAATCATAAGACAGCATTAAAAATATTATGCAGGAGGAGATGGAACAAGATGGTCAAATAGAAGCCTCCAGCAATCAACTCCCCCACAGGAGTCCCAAAATTGAACAACTATCTAAACAAAAAAAAGTACCTTCATAAGAACCAAAAATCAGGTGAGTGATCACAGTGCCTGCTTTTATCATCATATTAAGGAAAGAGACACTGAAGAGAATAGGACAGACAGTCTTGAATTGCCTACACCACTCTACCCCCATCCCCAGGCAGCAGCCCCTCATGATGCAGAGAGAGAATGTGTGTACTGGAGGGAGGGAGAGTGTAGTGACTGTGGAATTTTGCATTGTCATTCAGCTCTGCCCTGTTACAGCAGAAAACAGCACAGGTCAGAACTCAGCCAGTGCCCATAGAGGGAGCATTTAAACTAACCCTAGCTACAGGGAAATAGCCCATCCAGTGGCAGAACTTGAGTTTTAGCAAGTCTCACCACCACAGGCTAAAGTGCTCTGCGGTTCTAAATAAACTTCATATGAAATGAAAGGCAATCTAGGCCACAAGGACTTCAATGCCTGGGCAACACTTGGTGCTGTGCTGGGCTTGGAACCAGTGGACTTGGAGTGCACACAACTTAGTGAGACACCAGCTGGGGTGGCCAAAGGAGTGCTTGTGTCACCCCTCCCCAACTCCAGGCAGTGAAGCTTGCAACTTCAGGACAGAACTCTTCCTTCCACTTGAGAGGAAAAGGGAGAGTAAAGAGTACTTTGTCTTGCAACTTGGATACCAACTCAGTCACAGTAGGATAGAGCACAAGGCAGAGTCCACGTCTCCCTATCCAGCCTCTCGCTCCCGGATGACATTCCTATACATACCCTGGGCCAGAAGGGAATCCATTACCTTGAAGGAAGGACCTAGTCCTGCAAATATTTATCACCTACACAAAAGAAAGCAAATTAGTCTTTCAAAGAGATATCTACACACTCATGTTAACTGCAGCACTACTCATAATGGCAAAGATTTGAAAGCCACCTAAGTGTCCATCAACAGATGAAGGAATAAAGAAAAGGTGGTTTTATACACAGTGGCATACTATTCCGTCATCAAAAAGAATGAGATCCTGTCATGTGCAACAATATGGATGGAACTGGAAGACATTATGTTAAGTGAAATAAGTGAGACACAGAAAGACAACCTTCACATGTTCTCCCTTATTGTGATAGATAAAAATTAAAACCATTGAACTCATGGAGATGGAGGGTAGAATGATGATTACCTGAGTCTGGGAAGGGTAGTGAAGGGGCTGGAGGGAAGTGGGGATGGTTAATGAATACAAAAATACAGTAGACAAAATGAATAAGATCTAGTATCTGATGGTGCAATGGGGTGACTACCATCAACAATAATTTGTTGTACATTTCAAAATAACCAAAGAATATAGTTGTTTATAATACAAAGAATCATAAATGCTTGAAGTGATGATTGCTCCATTTATCCTGGTGTGATCATTACACACTGTATGTCTGCATCAAATAGCTCATGTATCCCATAAATACATGCACTGACTATATACCAATGTTTTTTCTAATGTGCCCTATTCTTAAAAAAAAAAACTATACAAAGCAAAAAAATGAAAAACAACACAAAGGACAGCTAATATTTCTGCCTATATCTTCTATCCATTTTAAATAAAATTTTAAATAAAAACACCAGATAAAGATATTACAACCACAGGAAATCAATCAATATTCTCATAACTTAATATTACTTGAAGTAGCTACCAAGAAGTATTACAAACATTTTCATGAGAAATTTTGTCATGTTTCTCATGGCTCATAAATTTCCCTTTCTAATTGAAAATTCCACAGTTTCATATACACTTAGGTATAAAGTAAGCCAAGCATAGTGAAGTTATAAATCTATTGTACTAGGTATAGGTACAGAAATATGCACCAGGTTCACCAAGTCATGAATGGAAAATGTCCAATAAAATAATTCAAGATAGTGGCATATCTCCTGCTAGTTTCTTCTAATGTTCAGTTCAGCCTTGTCTGAACCAGTATTCATATATAAATAGGCTAATGCATGCTTCATTACACTATTCCCTAAAGTGCCTAAGTCTCAAATCTGATTCACAATTAGAAAACAAAGCAAAACCTCAAGGAGGCAATGACTACTGATTCAGGATTGATCCATGATTCCTACTTTTATCTGACTTCTAATTCCTGAATACAAATGTATTCTCAGCTTCTGTGTGTTTTATATATATATATTATTCTCCTTTTTACATTTTAGGGTTAATGCTTCTACTATTTGTTTTGACTGTTTATGTTTAAGAATAAAATTTTAATATATTCAATTTATCTCTAGTTAACAACTTTAACACCATTCCATAGACCTTTATAAGGTAATCATTTTATTAATACTCTTTTCTGAGTAATTGCTAATTTTTTTTTTTTTTCTTTTTGAGATAGAGTTTCGAAATGGTGTGATACCGGCTCATTGCAACTTCTGTTTTCCGGTTTCAAGCAATTCTCCTGCCTCAGCCTCTCAAGTAGCTGGGACTACAGGCATGCACTGCCATGCCCAGCTAATTTTTTTGTATTTTTTAGTAGAAACGGGGTTTCACCATGTTGGTCACGGTGGTCTCGATCTGTAGACCTCATGATCTGCCCGCCTCAGCCTCCCAAAGTGCCGGGATTACAGGCGTAAGCCACCGTAAGCCCAGCCCATAATTGCTAATTTTTATTTCCTCTTTGTCCCTGCCTTTATTGGGAAGTTTTCAGTGTTTGAGTGATTCATGTTTTCTAATACCTCTTTATAATGACTTTGTATGTTTACTGCATTGTCAGAGATTGCAGCTCTTACAATGCTGTGTAAGTTTCATAGTTTAACAGATGTAATATTTGTTCTCTGTCCAAAGGTCACAGAGTCTGATTTAGTTTTTTAAATTAACATAATCATCTTATTCATATCCCATATATTACTATATAAAACCACTTAAAGTCTCAATTTCAATCGAGGTCCTAAATACTGGTCTTAATACTAAGAACAACGGGTTAGGTAGCAAGCATCCTTGCATGCCAATTCGAGGGGCTGGATGGCCTAGATGATAAATTTCAAGAGGTTATAAAGCCAGTTCTTCCAACATCACCAGGTCACTGTGGATTTACTGCAAATTAATGAAGATTAAGCTTCAGGGCCTCTTCTCCTGCACAGGGCCCTCCCTAGACAATAAATAACGTCAATTAAAAGAGCATTTAATATTAGTTACTGAACCAGAAAACTTGAAACACCCTGATATTTTATAACTCACATATGAAAAAATGTAATAGTAATTTTTGCAAGTTACAAGAATTTGTAAGAATTTTACAAGAATCCCCAAAATTTATACGGCAGTTCCAATAGAGATGCATAAAGGCAGAAAGAACTTCTAAACTAACAACAAAAAATGTAATAAACCAAAGCAAAATGTAATGCCAGGGCAAAAATTGTAATACTTATCATGTGTATTGAAAAGTCACATTTCTTGCACATGTGCCTCTGAACCTAAAACAAAAGTTTTTTTAAAAAAGAAAATCATATTTCTAAATCACTGGAATATGAAGAGGCAATCAAAGAATAGACAGCCAAAAGTTATATGGCTTTAGAAGTATGTCAGGCAGTTAATTGATACCGTTTTTTATTTTGTAAGGTTATGATATTATTTGTGAGATTTCCAAAATTTGTAATTAGTTCTGATTTCTTTTTATCTTCTAAATAAAAATTCACATTCATTCCTAACATTTATTTGTTATTTTATATTTTTTAAAAAGACTTCTCCAAAACTGTATCAGCCTCATGCCCCTCAAAAAGTAGGCAATTCTCTGGTTTTCATATACTTTCTATGGTGAAAGATGATATGCTGAAGAGTTGAAAGAGAAGATGCATTTGTATCCCTTCAACCTCAAGCCAAACGACAAGTTTAATGGATACAAAACCTGGAGAAACTGTTAAATCACTGTGAGTCCCCACCTCCCTTTACCTATCACCAACTATGAGGAAAGGTCTCTCCATCACCTCAATCAGGTGAGAAGGGCTATGAGAGAGCCATAGCAAGTCCTCTGGAGAAGTTGGTGTCTGATGTTCCCTTCCAGATTTCTAAAGACTTGAGTTGTCTCTTTTTAGAAGTAAAGAGAAATCAGAGTGCTGGGCACAACTGCACTTCCAAGGAATAGGGAAAGGATGCCTGACTTTCTCAAGAATAAGGTTATTCCCAGAAAAGGGGCATACTTGGGAAATTTTAAAAGTCCCCACTCAAGGAAACTAACTGGAGAGGCAAAAAGACCCCAACAAAAAGAAGCTGTGTTGGGTGACATCACCTCCTGCCTGATTTCTGGGGAAGGAGAGAAAGTTCTCATTTAAATGAAATTTGGATTTCTGATTATTGCATTGGACTAGACTAGATGCTTTACTTATTGAATTGTGACTGCTCCTCTGGCTGAGTGAACTGCTTGAGATATCATTCAACACTGAGGAAACACCAAACTGAGTTTGAAGGGAGTATGAAAAAAAAATTAAGTTGCTTTATAGTGTGTACCCTAAGGAACCCAGATAATTCAAGAACAGTTATACCTCATTTACCTTTTGCCTTCTTAATTTATCAAAGACTTAGATATTTATGTTAAAGTCTCCCTATTTTTTTTCTTTAGAACTTCTTTCCTATTTTTAACAAATATTTTAAAAAATATATTTTAAAGCTATGTTACATAATACGTAAAGGCTTATTACGTTTTAACTTCAACAAACATACAGACATAAATAGTGTCTGCTTCTTTCTTTTTCTTTAGCATTGACCTAACTAAATTCAGCTTTGGGAGATGAAGATGTAATCTGTATAATTTCTATGTTTCAGAATTTTTTAGATTTTTTTGTCTTAAAAAATGATTTTAGGCAAAAGTGATTCATGGCATTTGAAAGAAATATATATTCACTGTTTAAAGAAGGAAAGTTTTTCTATATCTATATTATCCATATCTATAGCCAGATACAAAGAAATCTTTTTTTTTTTTTTTGCTCAAAAAAATCAGAAAAAAAAATTTCCTTCCTTACATTTGAAATCCATAGCAAGTTCCAAGAGAAGAAAAGGAAAAGAGTATAAAATTCATTATATTGAGCAGTGGAC